CCCTGTGGAGGTAACTGAGGTGAGGAAGCCGCAATGTGTGCGCATTCAGGTTGGTCGCAGGCGTTGGTATGTGCACCCGTCACGACTGAAGCCCTATTTTCCACCTTATGAGGGCTTGTCATCTCCACCATCTGATGGCCGGGTGTTTGATGTGTCCGATGGAGCCGGACATACGGTTACGGATGATGTGCCTCATCGAGGCTCTGTTCCTCCATCTGCAGGATCCCAGGGCCTAACGCTCATGGAACCACCGGTGTTGCCACCCGCTGGCGGATCAGGGTGGACGGGACGACCGCCACCCGCTTCTTCTCTTCATCCATTTTCGTCCCAGGAGGGACTGCACCCATTGGGCCATCATCTCCCGCGATCCAGTGACGAACTGCCTCACACTGGCACACAAGCTGCATTCTTCAACTCCATCTCCCTCTGTGAGGACCCTCTCAGAGGCGTTCCATCCCCTTGGCTGCCACTCCGTTGTAAGTCTTTGATTATCAGCCACCTGCCCTCATAGCCACGTGTCCTGCCCGAGTCCACTTAGGTTTCATAACAGTTTGAGTGATGATAATTGGTTCTTTACCCTTATATCTGGCAACAAAACTGACACCTTTTTACAAGGAGTCATGTTTGCATAGACCGCAATACCTGCAGTCATAATACAAACAAAAGAGTTATGTTTTTTTGTTTGTATTATGACTGCAGGTATTGCGATCTATGCAAACATGACTCCTTGTAAAAAGGTGTCAGTTTTGTTGCCAGATAGAAGGGTAAAGAACCAATTATCATATTTTTACTGGCAAATGAGGTTCCCATAGAGTTTGAGTGATGTCTTTAACCCGATTATGTTTTCTAATTTCATGCGCTATTCCAAGCGTGCATCTCTCTATGCTTCTTTGCGCACTTTTTTTTTGTTAAAGGATGTGTTTCTGAACCGATATGTCGGAGCTGGTAGTAGGCACTGAATACATCTTCGTTTTTCAGGCATACTGGCATGCCATAGCGGAGATTTTGTTTGGAGTTACGCAACAGGGAAATTGTATAATATATGTACCTGCGACAACTGTTAAAGGTGGACTGGAATATAAATTATAAAGTAGAGGCAGATTCGAGATTGGAGTGCTTTTGAAAAACTAAATTTGATCATGAAAAGCAACGTACTACATTTGGTATATAAACATGTCAACTCTTATCTCTTACAACTTTGACAGTGCTGTTTGCTACTAACCGCTTTGCATTTTGGGCCTTTGGGCCTGTGTCCAATAGCTGTGTAAAATAAAATAATAAATATATGTATATGAGAGACACGTGTTAGCTTCAGTATGTTTCTCGGTTGTCCCAGCAGCTGTCTGTAGGCTTCTTTATTTAACGTCGTCGTTCCCACGCATTCTGTTTACAATGCCACTAACCACGTACACGAGGGAGCGCCGTGCTTTGCAATTATCGGAACGTGGCATGTTCAATTACCACAATTGAAAACAATTACGTTCAATATCGTTATCGCTCGGAGAACATTGCGGCCACGTTGGTGGGGGGGGGGAGCGTGGAAAGGAGCATTGTGGAATGTGCAACCCCCTGTGTTTTGATGCCATATTCCGAGAGTTACGTACAATTTTCCAATGTTATTACTCCCAGACCTATTCCGTGCGCATCCAAGTCTCCTTCAATGCTAGCAGATTACGATTTCCTCTATTTAATCCAGGTTAATGTTTAGCCCCAGGATAATTCCGTACGACCGCTTTAAAAAAATCCCTTTGTCCCTTGGTACCCACACCCCACTCCGCCGCCGACTGGCTCAGCACCACAACCACCACCACCACCCACCACCAACCACCACCACCCACCACCACCACCACCACCCACCACCACCATCCACCACCCACCACCCACCACCCACCACCACCCACAACCACCACCCACCACCACCACCACCCACCACCACCACCCACAACCACCCACCACCACCATCCACCACCCACCACCCACCACCACCACCACCACCACCCACCACCACCACCACCACCACCCACCACCCACCACCACCACCACCACCACCACCACCCACCACCCACCACCACCACCAACCACCACCACCCACCACCCACCACCACCACCACACCACCCACCACCACCCACCACCACCACCCACCACCACCACCACCACACCACACCCACCACCACCCACCACCACCACCACCACAACCACCCACCACCACCACCCACCACCACCACCACCCACAACCACCCACCACCACCCACCACCACCACCACCACCCACACCACCCACCACCACCCACCACCACCACCACCACACCACCCACAACCACCCACCACCACCCACCACCACCACCACCACCACACCACCACCACCACCCACCACCACCACCACCACCCACCACCACCACCACCACCACACCACACCACCCACCACCCACCACCACCACCGACAACCACCCACCACCACCCACCACCACCACCCACCACACCCACCAACCACCACCACCACCACCACCACCACCACCAACCACCACCACCACCCACCACCCACCAACCACCACCACCACCCACCACCACCCACCACCACCACCCACCACCAACCACCACCAACGACCACCACCAACCAAGTAGCGTGATCAACTCGCGCCCGCGAACCTGGCCGTGCGTCACTGGATCCCAGGCAAAACTAAAATGTTCTTGCATATTTTCCTAACACGCACCCTTTTAATTAGATTCTCGCCGCCGTTCGAAAGCCCGTCTTCATTCGTCTGCGACCCGACAAGCTTCGGTGCCAGAGTTTCCACTGCTGCTGCTGTTGTTGTTGTTGTCCTCTATCCCGTGTCATTCTCACAATGGAAGGTTGATTTTGATCCTTGTTCAATGAGTGGCGATGCGTTCAGCGGCGAAATGCAATTGTTGAGGTGTGCTAGCCGAGAGAGGGCTTGAGAAGAGAGAGAGAGAGTTCTTGTAGCTTTGCTATTCCACCTCTGTTATATATATGGTCAATGTCCATGACATGTGTTTTTTAATCTTTCACTATCTTCACCGTCTCTCGTGGAGTGTCCCATACAGCTGCTCACAAACTGTCGCACCGAACTGCTCCGTTTATTTGTTTTCCCATTCCATTTTCCCTTGCGGAAGCGCCTTCGTCACATCTCCACTGTGACCCCCACCCCGCCCCGCGCCCCCTTCGGATATGATCCATTATCCCACGCACGCCACCCTCTTCTCATCAGGCCATTGCCCTGATCGGGTCGCATTTGGTAGAGACGCACGGAGCGGTGGTGAACCGGCAAGGTTCACGTGGCCACCGCTGGAGCCATTCGCCGTGCGTGTCCCACGGAGGGGCGCTGCTATGCGGAGTCCTCAATCTCGTCCATCGGTAGATCAGTTCGTGGATTTGTCTTAATTTATTAGGTTTTTTTTACGGTTACTGTTTTACGACGCGATTTTTTTATCTAGATGCGGATTGCTCCACCGCGTGCGTAAATGCATGCCCCTGCACGCCGCTGTGTGGGTGGGTGGGATGGGTGAGTGAGGTCGTGTGTGTTTGTGTGTGTTGGGATGGGTGGTTGGGTGGTGATGGTGGCTGGTGAATTGAAACGCTGGGTACCCTTATAGCCGTATCACGACCCAGCCAGCACTTTACACGAGGAGTCGAGAGGAGTGAACAAACATTCCATCCTTCCAACCACCATCATCACCACCACCATCATCGTCGCCGGCTGCTGCGCTCGTGCTGATAAGTACCTCCGATTATAATTTGAGCAAAGGCACCGCAGGAAGAGGGCGATTTGAGAGTGCAGAGTGGTGCAGAGTTGAGAGTGCAGAGTGGTGCAGAGTTGAGAGTCTAGAGTGGTGCAGAGTGGTGCAGAGTTGAGAGTGCAGAGTGGTGCAGAGTTGAGAGTGCAGAGTGGTGCAGAGTTGAGAGTGCAGAGTGGTGCAGAGTTGAGAGTGCAGAGTGGTGCAGAGTTGAGAGTGCAGAGTGGTGCAGAGTTGAGAGTGCAGAGTGGTGCAGAGTTGAGAGTGCAGAGTGGTGCAGAGTTGAGAGTGCAGAGTGGTGCAGAGTTGAGAGTGCAGAGTGGTGCAGAGTTGAGAGTGCAGAGTGGTGCAGAGTTGAGAGTGCAGAGTGGTGCAGAGTTGAGAGTGCAGAGTGGTGCAGAGTTGAAGTGCAGAGTGGTGCAGAGTTGAGAGTGCAGAGTGGTGCAGAGTTGAGAGTGCAGAGTGGTGCAGAGTTGAGAGTGCAGAGTGGTGCAGATTTGAGAGTGCAGAGTGGTGCAGAGTTGAGAGTGCAGAGTGGTGCAGAGTTGAGAGTGCAGAGTGGTGCAGAGTTGAGAGTGCAGAGTGGTGCAGAGTTGAGAGTGCAGAGTGGTGCAGAGTTGAGAGTGCAGAGTGGTGCAGTGCAGGAAGCTGCTGCTGCCACAACACGCGCACAAGAGCGGAGAATGTCACGAGGGAGTGAGGAGCGGGGGAGCAGTTAAGTCGTGCAATTTGTATTTATTTGAAGACGTCAAAGTTTCAACGTTGTCTAACGAGTTTCGGACGCTGTTTATTTCGTCTACATCGCAAGACACCGGGTAAGGACATTTGTAACTCCACGCTGTCACCACTTGGGGATTTTTTGTTGTCGCTGCTGCTGCTTCGTTCGCCGGTCGTGCGAGGGCGTTGGGTGTCCAGGAGCTACCGCAGTGAACCACCACCACCCCCCCACAACCACCACCACCCACCCACTACCACCACCCCCCACCACCACCACCACCCACCCACCCGGTCACGGCTCACATCAGTGGTGAGTGATATCCCGAGCTCGTTCTTCCTTACCCCCCCCCACTCACCTAGCCCCCCATCTCACCCCCTTGCCACTTCACCAGCCCGCGCTAACCGGCGTGGTGAAGTATGGTCGAGCAACCCATCGATCGATAAGGGGTGGGCCTTCGTCCAGCAGTGGACTGACACAAAAAGGTTCTAAATTGCGATTCAGTTACGTCAAGTGACGTCCAATTATTTACGCTAAGCATTGTATGTATTTCGAACTTATTTCGCATCGTACGTAGCCAACCGTGCTAATTCATATTGAGTATGAAGATGCCTCCATCGGGGTGAAGGTTACCAAAAGGGTGCCCGTAATCCGGTTCGCAAGCCTCCACGTGTCGGTCGGGTGGGTACCGTTTGAGTTGAAGACGCGCGGTGTCGCAATAGCGGTGACATTGCAATAGGGGAACCCGTCACCGAAGCGAATTCACATTCACATTGTCCCCGCGAATCACCTGTCTCTCCCATCTGTCCACTCGCATCCGTCCGGTCGTAAACCTTCCACACGAACCCCTCTCTCTGCCGCAAGTCTCCACCAGCCCCTCTCGCCCCCCTCGTGCACTTCTCGTCTCCTCCAAACAAACAAACAAAAACCCGCGGTCACCTTCGCTCGCAGGCGCTCAGTCGGTCGTCAAGCTCCTCGCGAGAGGAGCTGCTGCTGCTGCTGGTAAACGGAGCGGCGACACCTGGCGTCTGCCTCCCTGTCCGTCTGCCTCCCTGTCCGTCTGTCTCCCTGCCCGTCTGTCTCTCTGTCCGTCTGTCTCTCTGTCCGTCTGCCTCTCTGTCCGTCTGCCTCTCTGTCCGTCTGCCTCTCTGTCCGTCTGTCTCTCTGTCCGTCTGTCTCTCTGTCCGTCTGTCTCCCTGTCCATCTGTCTCTCTGTCCGTCTGCCTCTCTGTCCGTCTGCCTCTCTGTCCGTCTGTCTCTCTGTCCGTCTGTCTCCCTGTCCATCTGTCTCTCTGTCCGTCTGTCTCTCTGTCCGTCTGTCTCCCTGTCCATCTGTCTCTCTGTCCATCTGTCTCTCTGTCCATCTGTCTCTCTCTCCGTCTGTCTCTCTGTCCGTCTGTCTCCCTGTCCATCTGTCTCCCTGTCCATCTGTCTCTCTCTCCGTCTGTCTCTCTGTCCGTCTGTCTCCCTGTCCATCTGTCTCCCTGTCCATCTGTCTCTCTCTCCGTCTGTCTCTCTGTCCATCTGTCTCTCTCGGTGTGTGTCCGAGTCGTCGCGCTTTCAGGCGGCGCCCCGAACGCGGCAGCCGTCTGGAACGCTCTTCCTTCTGATATTATGTGAACCGCTGGGAGCTATGGACTTTTAAATCTCGACTGAAAACTCGTTTCTTTAGAACTGTTTTTTTTTGTTATAATTCCCCCGCACCTCCGATTTAGCACTGTTGGCTACATACGGTGCGAAAGAAGTTCAACATACATCCAACATGCATACATTGTCGCTGTATTATCAGGCAGAGATAGAGAGGGAACGTCAATAGCTGGTGAACTACTGTAGAGCGATCACACTTTCTGTTTGGACTTCCCAGTTCACCCACTCGACTTGTCCCAACGTGACATACTCCAGATTGTGTTGACACATTCCTCAATAACATTGCCCTAGGAGGAGGGAATATCCAATATGCAACGTTTCTTTACAATAAAGGTGTAATTGCTCAATACGTCACTTATGTTTGTATTGCTTACATGTTATTAATATAACATATATTACTAAGTTTGTATTGCTCTGCTAGGGATTGTTCATCGATTGAGTCTGTTATTTGTGCACCACTACACGAATACGTTTTCCCGCACCTTTCTTTGTGCTTTGGTTCAACAAACTGCTGCTTCTTTACTTGCCCATTGAGAAAATACATTCACGTTTGCGATTCGTGTTCACAGGAAGATAATGGTCGTGGCCGCGTTGGTGACCGTCGCTTGCGTGATTTGCTGCTATTCCTTGAAGGTGAGAGGCTGTGCTTCCGTCACGGCGATGGTGGTGGTGGCGGTAGCGATGGGTCCAGGAGCTCAATGGAAATGCCGAGGTCTGCTAGCCACGACGATTGGACTTCATGAGAGCGAGAATAAATGAGATCGAAAGACGGAGGGGTACTCCACAACCCTGGCTGTCGCATGATGTGGCTAGTTGCAATTGCCCGTGAAACGGGTTTACTCTCCAACACATCGGTGTGCTGTACTTGTAGCGAATTGTCACGTTTTGTTTACGTGACAAACCTTACTGATTTGGCTGTGGTCGGGTGGTGGCGGGTTTAACGACACATTTATATATTTATACGCGATCTAACCCAAAAAAACTCCATTATGTAGAGTTCGTGCAGTGTTTGCTATTCCTCTTCTGTTGACGGAGCCCAGACCGCAGTTGTACACCACGTGGAATCCTGTACTTTTTTCATTTTAATTGCAAATAACATCTGATAGGGATGTAATGGAGAAAAATGACCATTATTACGGCGGCGTGGATGCTCGCACATTTTTGCGAGGACACGTTTTATTTAACCTGCGTTCCGTGCCAATTTTCTTGAAGCAGAACACACGCTGGTATTTGGAGAAATAACATCGGGGCTGTTTAACCCGGGTGTTGTTTTCACTGATGCTGTGTTGTACGGCTGCCCAAAGCGCCAATGGGCGAAGACTTTTTCTTCGTCCTCTTTGTACGCCCCAAAGTGTAAGTCCTCCGCTTGTTGCTTGTTGCGGAGGTGCGCGGCTCAAGGCTGGTGGCCGCTCCGGTTTAATACTGCGAGCGTATTGAACAACAGAGTCGTGGTGAACCCTCCAATCCCGTGGCATTAATCGAAAGCGCGAAGGCCGTGTGTTCCAGCACCACCGTCCAAATGTGCCTCTCGTATTACCTAATTGGATCCAAGTCATTGTGGCAACGCAGCCCTCCTACCACGACACTCTGCACACTATAAACGCCTTTCAGCACGTGAAGGGTGCAAATACCAAATATGCCAATGGTGTGATTTGACGAAAGAACGGGATGTGTAGATGAATCCATCAAAGTTCGGCATTAGTCACGCACACTCCATCCTAACTGGAAACACATTGATTTTCAACACTCTACTTTATTCCAAAATACAAGTGCAATGCATCTTTAAGTTGAATGTATCTACTGTGTAAAATGTATTCATATACCCTCTACTAATACAAAAAATGTACATCATTCCTACTGAACAAATATGCAAACAATGAACATATACAATGGTTGCAAAGAGTTGATTTAAGCTTTTCCAAAAGGAGACATTAAATAAACCTATTGGCTCATACCTCTGTGGTGTTCTTCCTAGACAGCCCATAACATTTGGTGCAGATGTTGCATAGCAAGGAGATTCAATCTTTGGATTCTCGATAATAATCATAGAGTATCAGGTGTTGGAAAACGCGCTCTCATTTTACAGGATGTGTTAATCCACCAGTGGCGACACCACTGTGCAGGTTTTCGTGGCTGTGATCAGTGCGTTTGCCCGGCACGCTGTCCAATGAATGAATCTGTTCTTCAGCGGATGACTTCACTAAATTCTTAATTTGCTGAACAAAGGTCCCAGCACGTGGAGCGAAACATCGTACATCGTGCCTAACAGCAACGGCAAACAACAACACGCGGCACACGCCGAAATCGCATCATCGGGGAGCTCAATCGGCGGTGGGTTTATGGCAAGAGTTGAAATAACTCCGAGTGTTTCCTATTGGCAGGCGTCTGCCTCTCTGCTGCAAGACACCTTGCAAAGATGGTCAAGCTATGCCAAGGAATGTCAGCAGTCACATGACAGCGAACCGTTACTCTCAGGTGAGTGAGTAAACGACATCGACATGCAACGATCCCTCAAGAGTAATAAGACGTTGGCTGTACTATGCGTGACATTAGCACGGTTGGTTACGTACGGTGCGAAAGAAATTCAATATATATACAAAACATGTGTGGCGTTGCAATTATAAATATATAATAGGCAACGTTTCGGGCAAACTTTTGTCCATTCCCAGAAAACTTGGCTGTTTGCGTATTTTTCCTATTTATAGGCCACAGTGCTTTTGACAAATGTGTTGAGTTGTTGTTGCTATTTGTGCACCATTGCCAACAAAGCAGCAGCAGCAGCACTGCCAAATTATTTGTTAAAGCCAGACACAGATGCTTGGCGCCATTGCACCAACTGCCACAGCAGTGATGTGGAAGTTGAAGAGAGATAAAAACTCATCAAATCTTCATATAGCTGAGTGTGTGTTTGCGTAGTTTTATCTACCAAGCTCAAAGTGCTGTTTCGTTCGAAATTATTGAACAAGACGATACCTTCACGGGAAACTTCTCGGTTGAGGATTTAAAGAGGATCGGGAGAAACCTAATGACGAACACAACCACTGCATACGCATCGATGTCTGTTAATGAATAATTTGAAATTCAATGATTATTGCTTGAGCACGTTTCTTACGATAACTGTGATTCATATTTTCCAGGCGTTTATTGCAACAGGACATTTGACCATTATGCTTGCTGGCCAGACAGCTTGCCAGATACAAAAGTGGCGATACCGTGCCCATCCTACCTGCCTTGGATAGACAAAGGTGAACGCATGGCGCCGTGTGGGTGTTCGCGGCCGCGCAGTGTAGCTCTCCGCTGTGTTGTCGGCTTGTACCACGTGTTGTTCGGCTTGGTGTCCGACGTTTCGCTCCGTGTGCCGGGTTCCTGAAGAATTGTCCAGCACTTGTAGCAAAACGTCACGCATCCTGCCGAACAACGCACGCGGTGCAACCAAAAATTGGCATCGGAGGGCTGCAGAGATAAATGCCCTTAATCTTAAAAATAGAAATGTCCTTGAGCTACAGTGCGTGTTTTTAATTTGTTTGTATGGTTTTAAAATAAATATAACATAGGTTTCGCATTCACCAAAAAACACATGTCTCACCCAAAACGAAGTTTGATAATTGCCAACGTAATTGGGAAATAGGCTGCATAATGTTCACTCGTAAAGCATTAGATGTCTGTGCTTTTTCATTAATGAAATAGAGAAAAGTTCTCGTCTGTACATAATAATGCAATGTTTTTGTTTGTCCCATTGGGCTACAAACTTTCCAAACAAATTTTATCGCGCAAAATATGTTTCACAACAATGCATACCATACGAGTAATGCATCATTATTGCTTTTGTTCGTTGAGTCGGTCCCGTCTCGTGAACAGTGCTCTTGCAAGTAGCATCTAGCAGCTCAGCAGAATGTGTCCTAAGAAGCCCGAATGCTGAAGAGACCCCACTGAAGGTCAAAACTGATCCACAGTTTAGTTTGCGTGTTTAAAAAAAATGCCGCAAATAAGATTGTTCTAGAAAGCCAATAAGCCTATGAACATTAATACATATTTCATTTTTGTGTGGAGAGGCGAAATACGGTCTATTTGACGAAAAACATAGGTTTTTGCAGCCATTATTGTGATTCATAATAAATATTTGGGTTATGCCACGTAACTATTTGCCTGTACAAACAAAAGTGTAGGTTGGGTGGTGGAGGGTCTCAGGACAGAAATTTGGCCAGATCATTACATGGCCTAACTGACAATCAATCATTAAGCCAGGTATATTTAATGAATACATAACCCATAATTCCCCATCAAAACAAATAATTAGTTTGTTTTTGTGAAATGCTACTGTTAGTTTTGTCTGTATGTCCCCCCTCTGTTCTAACGTGGGTTTCCTCCGGATTCTCTGGAGTCCTGCCAAAAAAAACTTGGCAGGCCCTTCTGTAACAAATTCTTTAAGACTCAATGAGAACGTACTAATCGTATTAAAAAAAAAATTATTGTAATTGTGTTCTGTTTTAGTGGAAGGAGGATACGTTTACAGATATTGCACTCGTGATGGCACCTGGTTAACTCAAGACAACGTGACCGCGGCATGGAGAGACCACAGCGAATGTTTGGATGATGAGAACAATATCTCCACTGAGGTCATGCATACACACATGTACAGAATTGCATTTCCTTCACAATACCCTCCGTTTTGTCTCAAAGGCATTGCCTATTTTAAATGTCAATGATTCACGTCTGCTGTTTCCTTCTAGGGAAAAGAGACGTATCTTCTTCATACCTTACGTCTGGTTTATACCACCGGATACTCGGTCTCCCTCGCCTCCCTCGTGGTGGCTATGGGAATTTTGATCATGTTCAGGTAATAATAATAACAACATATATGTGTACGTATGAATGTGCGTGCCCTGCTATGACGCTACATACCCCGTGTTGAATAACCTGCAGCTCTGACCCGTTAAATGACCGTGTTATGTCAAGTAAATAAGTAAGTAAAGTTACACACATGCATTCAGTTGTAATGCCAACGCGGTACTGAGGTACTGAGTATCGGGATGCTGCCGTCTTACAGTGCACCACAGCTGCAATCTGGATGTCGCCAGGCTCAATTCCATCTACGTACGGTGCGAAAGAAGTTCAACATACATACGTACACGTTGATACTCTGCAGCAAGAGTCTTAACCCCCCTCCCCGCCTCTGTCCACCCAGCAATTTCCCATTGGCTTATTGGACGTATACGGTAATCAACAATGTTCAGGATTAAACACGCAATTGTGCATTCACGCTCGTGGCAAGTGCAATAATAGTTGTCCCAGATGATTCACCTGTTTTCAAACGCTGTTTTCCAGGCGGCTACACTGCACAAGAAACTACATCCACATGAACTTGTTCGCTTCATTCATCCTCAGAGCCATTTCCGTTCTGCTCAAGGACGCTGCTCTCACACACAATTACACAAAACGACTCCAGAACGCCTCCGATTGGCTGGGCTATTTTGGATACGAAGTGAGTGGTGCCGGACACAAAGTAGATACACGTGTTCATGACGTACACGATAAGGCTTTCTTTTTGTGTGTGTGTGTGGAGGGGCACATTTATCGTGTGGGGTGTTTGTGTCTCGCGTGACATTTGCACAGCTGGTAAAAAAAAAACATTAAAGTAGGGGTAAATGTCAACAAATGCTGATGTTAATTCATAGCTAAATGGGGAGTATGAATTCTGGATTTGATCCACAAATACCACTTATATTTCGACACACAATCATTGGTGGATTACTAACAAAGAATTGCTATGCCTTTTGAGAAGAAACCCATGAATGTGGAGCACATGTCCATAACTAGTGAGCCGTGCCTTCATTTTCACTTGTAACTTTTCACTGGCAATTGATAGCATGCGTGTGAGCAAAGTCTTCTGTCGCCAATGGTTTGTTGCATGTTTGATGGTTTTTTTTTGCCACAGGGGTACACAGGATGCAGAGCTACTCACGTTTTCATGCAATATTGCATTGGCGCCAACTACTTTTGGCTTTTGGTTGAAGGCAGCTACTTACACACCCTGCTGACCATGTGTGTGTTCACCGAAAAGAAACTGATTGCATTTTACGTTCTGCTGGGATGGGGTGAGTGAATGCCTATAACAGAGGTAAACAATAATCGCACTGGTGCCAAGCGGACTTCGACGGTTTTAAAATGCGTCCGCACACACACATCTGTCCATTTTTAAATTCCACGAGCTGGATCAGGGCCTCCCCGCGCGAAGGGCTCTCGGGGGAAGTTATCTGACAACACCGCAGGTTTGATGAAGTTGGGGAACACAGACATGGTAGCTTGTTGCTGAGCCCACCACGTGACCCACCAGCCTGAGCCAAGGTGGTTGCTCTTTCAAGTTCTATTCAGGCTCGTTCCTGTTCAGCTGTTTTTAAATCTGGCACTTGCTGTAGGAATTACATCTGAGACTAGTTCACGTTACACTGCACTTTTTTGTATACATGCACTGATCTACGGTTGAACGTTGTTTTATTTTCATTTTCAGGTACACCGATTATGTTCATCATACCTTGGATGGTTTCAAAATTGATTTATGAAAACCAAGGGTAAGCTTTGTGCATGTTGTCTTTTTATACACGAACACAACATTTTCAAACGTCTGTCGGTGCGAGCATGCACATAACTACAGGAGGTACGATTCAGCATTGATGTAAGTGGCAGAATGTTGAAAAGCAACAAGAGAATACATTATCTGAAACTACAAAAGGGCATTTTGAGGTAGTGGAGAGTATAGAGGAGACCGAGATGATGAACATAATTTTGCATATATGGATCTCTGTAAAACGATTAGAGCGAAAAATGGTAAGCGAATAATACAAAGATGTTTCAAGATGACAGAGAGCAATAAAAGCTGTAAAACTAATGTTGATGATTGGCCATTCACAAATGGTCGCCCTTAGGGAGAATGAATGCACCGTCACACATTATAGAGAGGGAGAATATTAAAATTAGTGGAAGAATGTTATGCAGATCTCTGTGGATGAATATTAAAACATTCATCGCAGTGATACGTCCACTCCTCAGATGAAGTGGAAGCTCCAACTGTCACACGTGAAACAAGGGAAAACTCCTGAACCAGATGGTGGAGGCATCACCATCATCACCATCAAAGAACCAGTTGTTGAAGCCAATTAGGGGAACCATTTACTACATACTTATGCATAAATGAAAGACATCATTGAATAAAGCCTCAATAATTTTTCTACTTAAAAAAGGATGATACAAATTGACTTGAAGAGCTCCTAAATATAGATGAGGAAAAAATGTTAACCTCAGATTTAGTGATGACAATCATTGTACATTTCAATAGAAGGGGGGGGGGGGGGAGAGGGGATGAACCACAACAGACTCGAGAAGAACTTTACAAAGAAGGCTGCAGAGTGCCGCTCACGATACACGTGTGTAGCAAGTCACGGCAAATTTCCGAAACGTTTGTTGGTGGGACACGGACCGGGATAATTCGAATGAATTGACAAGGCGGACGAGTGAACTTAATAATGAAAGGCGACGCAGCAACGATGCCTGAATTCGAACAGTTTTCGTTTCCTCTCCAAAAGTATTTTAATATGAACGAAACGATATCAGGTACACAACACAGAGGATATGAAAAGGTGTTGACACCAGCACAAACACATTACGGATTTACAGTGCAGTGGAAACCTGTCTTAAACCGCACGTTTCAATAAACTGGTTCAATAATATTCTTAGGTTTTTTTCGGTAAAGTCACGTAGATAAAAAAATTTAATTAATAAAAGTTAAATGAAAATAAAATAAAAATCACGACGTTTCGGAGGCAACACAAGCTTCCGTCTTCAGGTGGAACCGTCACAGCACGATAGCTGTACTTGATAGCTGTACTTGATACAGCAGTCGTGCTGTGACGGTTCCACCTAAAGACGGAAGCTTGTGTTGCCTCCGAAACGTCGTGATTTTAATTAAATTTTATTTTTATTTAACTTTTATTAATTTTTATTTTATTTTTTTTATCTACGTGACTTTACCGAAAAACCCTAAGAATACGAATCCTTGCAGTCACGAAAGCTTCAAATCTGTTTCAATAATCTCTACAAACCCCTGGTGTCTGCCTAAGCTCTGATAGTCCTGTAGGAGAAAGGAAAATAAACCCGTAAAAACAAAGTTTTTCACTCTAAATCCTTTATATGCGTGGCGGCTAGAGTCCTCTCGTCCTCTGGCTTGAGATGGCTGCCACCTATGGGTCAGATGATTGTCTGCCAGTATTAAGCAATTGGTAATTAAATATTTATTTATTTTTCCCTAAACAGTGTAACATTTTGGAAAAAAAATTTCACGAAAATTAATTGTCGCGCACAACGAGTCTGTGTGGAAAATGTCAGCTCGATTGGATCACGGGAAGTGTGTTAAAAAACGACCGAAAGATTTGCACGGTCGTAAGCAAGCAAGCAAGCACGCAAGCACGCAAGCAAGCAAGCGAACTTAATATAAAGGATAAAAAAAGGGAAGTGAAAATGCCAAAATGCCCTCGTGAATGCTCTTAAGAGTAGAGGGAGTGAAGGGGTTCCGTGTTAGTGGTAAGCTTCCTTCCTGCTCCTTAGTTTGGCACTTAGATGCTCCAGAGGGGCAATTTTTGACAATTTATTGGCCCATTCCTCGAGTATTTGCGGGGGAGCATGGCTCTTTCCAGTTGGCTATAATGGTTGTGTTTTGCCATAATAGTGAAAATTTGTAATAATGGTGTGTTGGCCTCCCTGGAAAGGCCTTGATGTTTCAACCCCAGTAAATGTTTAACTGGTGCATAGTACCTGTTGTGACGCATGGATCCAACACTTGCACACGGACAAAGAAAATGGAACAAATGCAGACAAGTGTGCGAATAAGCGTGGAGAGATATGTGCTTGGAATTATATTGAGAGACAGAAAAAAATAATACGTGGATTAAACGGCATATGCAAGCTACACACATATCCTCCTCCTCCTTCCACGCGCTTGTCGCGCTCACGTGGGGGTGTTCCCCTGTCCTTGCCAAACTTCTCCACGCTGCCCTGTCCTGTGCCATCTCTCTCTCTGCTCCTCGGGCCACCGCGGGCCGATCGCACCGCATCGCCCCCCCCACCTCCTCTTCTGTCTTCCTCTGCATCTCTTTCCTTCCACTTGCATCACTCGCCACCTTCTGACGCACATAATTTGCCTGCTGTCTCTCCGCATGACCGAACCACATCCAGAGCCCTCTCTCTCTCTCACCTGCTCTGTGATTTCTACCACCGTTAGTCTTCCTCTCGCGTCTTCATTTCTCACGTTGTCCCCCCATACACACATCCCATTGACTGTAAACAAAACAAGGAAGTTGGATTGGGTAGGAGATTTGAATGGCTCGTGGTCGAGACTAAAAACGGAGTGGCGGCCAAAGGAGTGGATGTCCATCGGGATTAACACGGTTGGCCCACGTATGGTGTGAAAGAAGTTCAACATACGTACATACATACAAAGTCATCACCTTATATCCAGGATGAGAACTGCATTTTTACTTCAAGCAATTGTCATGTTATGGAAACACATATATGATGACTGATTATGATTTAAGGTGATGACGGCGATGATTGACAGTGATGAATGTAAGCGTGGAGAGATATGTGCTTGGAATTATCAGTAGCTTTCTCTCTCTCACCTGAAGACGGTCGCTTGTGTTGCGATCGAAACGTCGTGATCTATTAAGTTTCTATCTACGTGACTTTACCGAAAGAACCAAAGAGAATGTAAATGATGTCTTGTTTTATTTGTGCCAATTAATATCCGTGAAATGAATAACGGTCGTCATGCATCAAACATGCGGTGCATGGTAATTGTGTTTATACGAACAATTGCCGTATAAAAGGCTGGTTGTGGCTTTTGAATCGGCATTCGCACATTACAACGCTTTTCTCATTCTCATCTCAAAGGTGTTGGGGAATTAACACGTGGATGGGCATTTGGTGGATTATACGAGGACCGATCCTGTTCTCCATTGTGGTAACTACTACGTGTTGTTTGCATTCATTCACCAAATTATACAACGTGCACCATTGGAACCGCCTTTGCCAGTAGCAAAATATGATAATTGTTTTTTTACCCTTTCATCAACGTGCGTTCTACATCGAATTGTGACTAATTGGGAATGGGACGCAAGCGTAGGATTGATCACCCTGTCGCTGGCCGCCTTTGGGGAGGGTGTATAGTATGAAAGGCCGAAACACCCTAGGAACCAAAGGGTCACTACTGACGATGCGCTCCCCAAATTTCACCAGGCTCACTGTTCATGAACTCTTGGAAGTGCTTGCACAAAGGATAGTAACATCTCATCCTGTGTTCTTTGGAATCTAACGTGCGCAGTCGGTCGCATGTTCCCGACTGTCACATTCCCTCTCTCACCAACCACTGCCATTTTCTAGACACATTCACGGATCCGACTTTTTCATACTCAGTGATGTTCTCTTAACCTCGCGTGCATTCGCTCACTGCTAAAGTCCTCTCGAGCGAAGCATGTTCCCATTGTTCACGCAGTTTGCGCTTTATCTGTTGACACGTGTCAACGTTCACATACCCAACTATTTTCACATATCCGCCTGGACCTCAGTCCCCAGCGAGTCCGATATGCGACATTGGACCGCAGTTACTTTTGTTGTTGTTGTGGTAATATTTGAAATGGCAAACGTTTAAACGGGGGGTGGGGGGGGAGAGATGTGCCACTGTGTATACAATTGTAACAAAAAAAACATCAAACATACATTAGTGTCTTTGCAGGTGAATTTTATCCTCTTTGTAAAGATCATCAAAATCTTACTCTCCAAGTTGAAGGCACAGCAGTCAAAGTTTTCAAATTACAAGAGCAGGTAAATGGTGCGACTGCTGTGTGTGTGGATATACTACTTCTGTAGATGTGTGAATCTACTTCTGTAGATATGTAAATAGTACACCTGCTGTAGATGTGTGAATCTACGACTGCTGTGGATGTACTACTTCTGTAGATGTGTGAATCTATTTCTGTAGATATATAAATGGTACACCTGCTGTAGATGTGTGAATCTACGACTGCTGTGTGTGTGTGGATGTACTACTTCTGTAGATGTGTGAATCTACTTCTGTAGATATGTAAATGGTACACCTGCTGTAGATGTGTGAATCTACGACTGCTGTGGATGTACTACTTCTGTAGATGTGTGAATCTATTTCTGTAGATATATAAATGGTACACCTGCTGTAGATGTGTGAATCTACGACTGCTGTGTGTGTGTGGATGTACTACTTCTGTAGATGTGTGAATCTACTTCTGTAGATATGTAAATGGTACACCTGCTGTAGATGTGTGAATCTACGATTTCTGTGTATGTGTGAATATACGATGTGTGCTCTATAGCATAGCACAAATGTACACATTTTGTTTACCCAACTACTTGATATTAATTTCAATGTTATGATTAGCTAAATGTGTAATTGGAGCTTTTTTAAATGTTCTCTCTGTTCACGGTTTCACTTGATTACAATGCAGCATGGTGCCTCATTTCCAGGATTCATTACGTCCACGTAAAATAGTATTAATTTGTTCATTGACTGGGTGCCGTGGATAATGGCAATCGTGAATACGAGGAGTTTCACCCCGATTACAAGGCAGGCATCGTCGCGGCTTACAACATGTTAGGAGATGCCCGTCTAGGCTATCCAGCCTTCCTGTGGGGTCATGATCCAAAACAGACCCTCTCTGCCGGGAACAAATTGGGTTTGAAGAAGAACATGATGTCTTGCTGCAACCGTCAGCGCAGTGGACTTGCGATCCAGGGGGGCCACGCCAGTTCAAGCTCCCGGCGTGGCAGCTGCTGAAATAATGTGGGGGGGGGGAGGGCAAGTTTCTCAAATCCTCTGCTGCCCCCTCCCCCCCAACTTCCGTCCACCCAGGGGTATACAAGGGTTCACCGCAGCTCGTCGATAGTCAGGTCACGTACGGGGGGGGGGGGGGCGGGTCAAGTGTAAGCACTGCCACCTCTTCCAAGATGTCTCGGCAGCGTGGAAGAGTAGGCCAAAACACTCTCTAGTGGGGCGGTTTGGGGGGCTTTGTAGAGCTCCTTTTAGTGGAGACCCTTCCAGCAGCAGTGGCAGAGAGAAAGCAACTTCCAGTGCTGCGCCTTTATTTTTTAAACCGTCGCGTGTTGCAGACTTGCCCGGTCGACGCTCACCCTGATTCCGCTTCTGGGCATCCACGAGGTTGTGTTCATCTTCCTCGCGGATGAGCATGCCACGGGAAGAACGCGCTACGTCCGCCTGTTCATTCAGCTCTCCTTCAGCTCCATTCAGGTGGGTGTTGTCAAGGTGCTGACGCTGATCTAGACATAGACACCAAATTATTTCTGGAGAAAAAAAAAATAACATTCGCGAAAAACCACGCAAGCGTCATGTGCCTCTCAGGGTCGGAGTGGTGGCACAGCGGTGAGCGCGCTGCGCCATTCCACCCTCCCGATCACGGCTACCGTCAGTGGCCAGTGAAACCAGAATCGGTTCTGCCCTTCCACTCGTCGTGACCTACCCGCGTTGACCAGCGCGGTGAAGTGCGCAACAACAAAAAACCGTGACGATGATGGCGTGCAAGAGGCCTTCATCCATTGGTGGATTGAGAATGGCTGGAATGTATTTTATGTTATTTTGTAATCCTATCATCGGGTTATAATTTCACCCAAAACATTGATTTTGTTGTGCAGAAGTGGCTTGGCATGCTGGACCTGAAACTGCTCTGTTTAATTACAGGTGGGGCAGAAGATTATAGCTTGATGACGTGTACAAGACATATATTTAATAGATAGTAGTAAGAATAAATGTTAGAGTGTGTAATGTTTACTCTGCAAGGATACATGCGACTGACTTTCACCTTGGTGAAATACTCATTTCATGCTAAAATAAGGACACCTTTTGGGGACTGTGCCATTTCTATCCCTAAAATCAAATGCAGGAAAAATAAATTGTCTCCAACGTAAAAAGCTTGCCAACTACTTCACATTATGAGCAAGAGGTTAAAAAAACACAGTTAATAATATTGTGAACGTGTTTGTCTTTTTTAGGGCTTTTTTGTAGCGCTCCTGTATTGCTTCTCTAATGGTGAGGTAAGTGATAAAATACAGTGTTGTTAAATGTACAAAAAGCAATATAAAATACTTGCAATAGTCGAGAGTTCTGTGTACACCTATTTTTAAACAAACGTGGTTACAAAAGCCACTTGTGGTTCAGTGTTATATTGACTCACCAGCGGGAAGTACCCGGCGTTGCCCGGGTGAAAAAGATACACACACATCGACCCACACACACACACAAACACATCGACTTACACATTGCCTCATACAAAAAACCCAACACTCTAAAATACAGGGTTGTTAACTACAGACCTTGACAAGTCAAACATTATTTCCCAAAAACGTCGTTACGCTAATTTACAAGTCATCAGCAGCAGCAGCACTCAGTGTTAATCCGCTGCTAGATGAAGGCTTTCCCAAGTCGCTACCGCCTCTCACGATCCTGGGATGTAATAATACACCCAACCCAGCGCCTACACTCGAGATGACTCCATTGCTTCGTATCCTCGGTAAACTCCCTCTTTTAATGTTGACAATCGGCCATCATTCCATGAAGAGGCATATTTTTTTCCTGCCCAAGTGCTTTTCCCGAGTTTAAATGGTGTCATTACCATGTGTATGTTCTCCAACTTTAAAAAGTGATAGGAAACTAACGTAATATAATGCTTGCTCTCAGAGTAATGATGCCAGTTATTTACCCAAAGGGCTTGGTGTGCCTCGAGACCTTTTTCAGTGCGGTCCTCCAATTGGAATGGTTTGGCCAATTCCTTCAATGAGAGTTTGGCTTCATGTGATGGGGAAACTGGCAAACCCAGAGAAACATCCATCAAACATACAATCTGACCCAAGAAACCTCTATTATGGATGATATTGGTCGCGAAAGCCTCCTACGTGTTAGACTCGACAAGGGGGTGACACCATTGGCATCTCGTTTCCACCTCGTAGCCGATGCTTAACAACCAGGCCCGGATTAAGGTTTCTTGTAGGCCCAAGGCACTTGAGTTTCGTTGAGCCTTCAGCGATTACACTCGACAGTTGATACTGCTGCTGCCCCACGTCGCTACTGTAGTGACTGACTTGGAGACGTAACTTCTTGGAGGAAATTCTTCAATTAAACACCGAGCACACTGTTACACACTCTCTGCTGTTACACAACGCTCCGTCTCTCGCTTAAACGCAACTCTACACTGATTGCTAGCCGACAACACAACGCTAGCCGTCCGAAACTGACGGCGCTGAACTAAGACAGCCAACTACTGCTAGCAGCGCAATTATCCAGTGGACGATGACAGCGACGAAGGCGACAGCAGCAACGAGGGGATCCCACTCCAAACGACAGCCCCGATCCCCTGCTCGGAGTCCCCTTTTATCCTGTTAGCGTGGCCTCACTCCGGCTCGGCCACGCCCCCCTTCTGGAACCTACGAGCGGGATCTCGACTTGTCCCCTCCGTAACCTTTACCCTAGATCCCTCTCGGGTCTGTCACGTGGCCTGCTGTTAGTCAGGGCTGCTTCACTCTGCAGATCCCCTTCCCTGCCAGCAGCCAGCGCTATGCTACGTAGTGACCAATTCTATGTCACGTCACTACGACTACCACCACTGTCACTCGCTAAAGCTGATAACAAACACAAAACTGTCTACGATCAAACATCGGGCAACAACGCCCGTCTTGTCTTCCCTTGCACTGCTCTCTATTGAGAATAAAAGATGGTGCGAAAAAGACCATTTGAAGATATTCTTGCAAATTTTTGAATGAAAGAAAATCTGGAAAAGTTAATCTCCGGCGTGAATTTCTCTCATCTGATAAAAAAAAACGATTGACGTTGACATGACTCTTCGTATATACACTGCCGATCCTTGCTATATTAATACATTTATTCAAGAAGATATCTTGGTTAAATTTTTATCATACATACATGTGTAGTGACGCAGCTCGGAGGCAGTAATACTTGGAGGCACTGATTTTATTGAACAAGCACCATCTGGATAACACACACACCCTACGTGGGTGCACACTATTATTATTAAGACCGTCTACTGTGGGCGGCACTACTTAGAACAGTTGGTTGGCTGTCTGACTAGCAGCGCCCCGGGATGGTGAAGACGGAGACGGCGACGAGGAGATGGTGACGACGAGGACGAGAAGGTGACGACGACGATCTTGAGCAGCACGACAGCCCCGAGCTCCCACTCAGGGCCCCCTCTTACACTCCCGGCGTGGCCTCGCTCCACCCCGGCCACTGGAACCTGCTAGCGGGTTCCCAGGGCTTCGCGATGGGCCCCTTCTGTGACCTTTCCCCTAGAAGTCCCCATCTCGTGTCTGCTAACGCGAGTACTGCCGTACACCGCAGTTACCCTTTTCCGCCAGCAGTCAGCGCTTTACCACTACACATACATACATACGAGCAAAAACACGGGTCAATTTTTTTTCGGAAGTCCTTTAATTTTCGTAGGCGCTATGCACAGCGCCTCCTGTGCCTATTGGATAATACGGCCCTGCTTACAACACTGGTGAGTCTTGGTCATCTTCAGCCCAGGCTCTAAACCTGCTTACCTTTTGAGATATGATGAGATTGAGCACGTGTGGAGTAATTTGGTCTTCGGCACTTTGTCGTAATTATGTTTCCGTGAATGAACGTCAATAATTTTGTCGTAAAATTTCCCCAACAATATCCCGACTATGTTATCAGCGTCATGTCAAGAGATGACGTATATATTTTATATTTGCTGCAGAGCAGTGAAAACCTTTGTATTACAGTGGCCCACAGAAGCAAATATCACAAAGCTACCTCTGAAATATCTTCAAATGACTTCTGGTCCATACAACAGAGGGCAGCGCCTTCCCATTCACTCTGCCTGTGATCGGTTCATTGCAAGGCAGTCGAACTGTTTTTTTATTGGCAGATCTGGAATTCAGCCAAATTAAGTGCAGAACCAAATTTGATTTGATAATTTTGAGTATTCCTTGTATGCAATTCGCATACAGATGTAACTTTTTTATATTTAAAAAATAACATCAAATTAATTTAATTTCTGCAATGTCATTTACCGTGATTATCACCTTCATTGTACAACAAATCTTTAATTCTGCATAATTTCAACACAGCACGCAACTGTAGGAGGCAGTGTGTGCAGAATCTTGGTCTTACTGCAAAGAGAATCACGAACGATCAGACAATGTCAATGCTTTATTGTACCGCACAGCCAAAGCACTTTGCCGTACGCTTACAATTGCACAAACATACTATTAAGTTAAAAAATAATATACTATTTCACAGCAATTACACTAGATAAAAGTTCTACAAATGCACAATGCCATTGTTTTTAGATATATCATAAAACTACAATTTTAACTGTAATAGAGACGGTATTTTGTTGTTGTTAAACATTTAAGTCTGTGTAGGCCGTAAATTAAGGGACAAACGTGAGTTTTATCAGCCTCAACCGTTGCTGTGATGTAACAAAATATTCTGCAGAAATTGGACTCTGCAGTTTTTCCACGGAAATGTCAGCGTCCCCCCCCAACCACCTCTGTAATGTTTGCATTAACCTGAGGTGATTTTCTCCTTGAGATCAGATAATCTGATAAACATAGCCAAAAATACCAGCTTAATTGTGTTAACCTACATTTTAATTGTGTTAATGACAGCTTGATGTTGCCATGTATCAGTAATATTTCAAAATGTATGGATTGTAAGCACTTACACAATATGGATTCTTTTTGCTGAGTATTCGATGCATTTGGTTTGCCCGTGGATGTGTTAATAATATGATTGACAAAATGATAAAGAGATTATGCAGATAGAGCCATCCAATTCAGGACTAATACATTCCCCGTGAGCTACTTATGGTATCTTTCGCTAAACTCGGATAAGTCGCCTCTCCTACTGATGCCTTAACTCACCGATATGATTAAATCCACATTTAAGCTTATCGCATTTGATGTCATGCGTATGTAGGCCATCACCATTTAGGTCACATCCAAATTAAGTGTGCTCTGGTGAAACACTAGGATCCATGGGGAATATATAAAAGCAAACAATTAATGACACCCAAAAGCCAAAACAACCTCTATCTTGGCAGGTCCAAAGCGAGTTCAAGAAAAAGTTGCATCTCTGGCACGTGAAGTCAAGGAAGGTAAATGAGCTGAAGTGCTCCCAAAGTTCCTTCACCTCCATGAAGAACTTCTCAATGGAAGGTGGCCAATTGTTGTTTGATCGGAGTGGGCTGTACGTTGGTAAGAAGCGCCCGTCCAGGGCAGAGCTCTTGCACAGCAAGGAAGCAAAGCGTCGTGAAGGCATGGGCAGCACCACCACCAACAGTAACCTGAGTGACAGTCAAGCAGTCATCGAAGACACAGTGTGAGATGTAGATCATACCACTTCAGCCCATATGACAAGGGTTCCGTTAAGCTACATCGTGCTGGATGATATGGGGGGGGGGGGGGGGGGTTCCAATTTGTTGGAATATACAAAAACATATCCCGGAAATGTGGAATTGGATGTTTAAGAGTGTGTAAATATTTATATGAAAATTTAAGGGGGTTTTTTTGTTTTGCTCAGATGACCAATTATAAAATTTCGTGTGATTTATTGTTTATTTAAAGTCTTAATTCTACCTTTGCACTTAAGCGTAAATGTTTGAATTCAAATGTAAATTGCTTTTAATTACTTAATCACATTAATGATGTTGTTCAATTACAGTTAAAACAAGCTGTGTGTATCTAAATACGTGTGATCATCACACTCGCTACTGAGCTGGGTTTATTTGCATTGACGTTGGGTTCCCTGTCATCAAATAACAAAGTGTACCATTTACCATGAAATATAAGCGACAGTGCTCGCCGACGCGACTCAGGATTGGGCCAATGGTGCGTCACCATCGGAGTCAAACCGCATGAGACAGACGTCCGAATTCCCATTGCGTCCGTTGCTCGTGTTCGTCGCGTCCGTGAGGTGTGTGGAGGTGAAACAAAGACCGTGGTAACGTTACCCTCCGCCTCGCCGCTCCTCCACCGCGCACTCTACTTGTGGCTGTGCAGCTTTTCATATTGGATGAGCCGCAGTATCTCGATGTTGTTTTTAACCCCTGCCACAAATTCTCCCTCGGTGATTTTATCTGCAAACGAGATTTGTGTGTGTGTGTGTGTAAAAGGCGTTTCGAGACGATCTCCTTGAGGAGCCCCCACCACCACGTGATGTTAACTGTGGTGCAGGGTCAACTCAGGACCAACACACACAACGCACTCCTGCTGAAATATGCACGAGCAGTAACAACAACCAGCGCCACTGCATTATTATTTTAAAGCTGTATTACAAGTTGAATTGCCAGGGTTGGGGATTTCACATTTTCTTTTTTGCGAGATTTGGCTTTTTTATGGCTCTGGTGGAAAAAAAAATGTTTTGCCATATGTTAGCCCTTAAGGGTTTTCTTGAAAATATGTGTGTGAAACCTTCTCCCAAACAGCCTGAGCATGGCAAGGATATTGGCATACTTTGCCTGACAGAATGACAACACATTTGTTCCACATATTCTGCACACAGCTTTGTGACAGCTCCCAGTCTCAAAAAGGTGTGATATTGTGGTATCTGTGTTTTTTGTAGTTGTATTACATCGGCAGCAGAAATGACAAGGCAATTGGACACGGGTTTCATCCTTGTTTGAATTCACCAGTGTAGTACATCCACCATTATTTCATACTTCCACCATTTGTGCGTGGGGTACGTTTTATCCAAATCCTGCTTCCACACAGTGGGGACAAAACCTAGCACTGTTGAGTTGCCTTATGATTCTAAATATATATAAAATAATAATAATAGGCAAAGCTTCAGCCCTTTTGAGCTGGTGGCTATTTTAAGGCTGTGTGCAGATTGCATGCATGAATGGTCATGTCAACATCATAGCATGCAAAACGTGTGTGTGTCCTGTCTTGTTGTCTTGACACGCGTTTTGTGTTATAATGATTGTATCCGGTCTTCTCGTTCGATGCTTAGCCTCTCTGGCTGGCGAGCATACCTCAAAATGTATAGTTTCCATAAAAAAAACCATAATGCCACTTTACTTTTAAAAAATCTACTTTATGGATACATATTCTTAGGTTTTTTCGGTAAAGTCACTTAGGTAAAACATTAAAATTAATAAATTTTAAGAATATGAATCCTTGCAGTCACGAAAGCTTCAAATCTAGAATTTATGGATACAATTTCACGATGATCAGCCTCTTGATACTCACTTGCTGCTCATGACAATACAGGGCCCAAAACGCCTGAAATGTGACTTGTTAGTAACTGGGAGCAGGCTTTGCACACTTTCTAGTACCTTTATTGTCACAGTCTTCCTACAGTTTCTGGAAATGAGAATGGCATTGGAAGAGCTGGTGTGCTTGCATTCACCCCAGAGTCTCAAAAACCAAATTGCAGGAATAAATCAAATACTGCCCTCCAAATTCGAGGGCCTCAATCTCAATTTTAGTTTGTAAAATCGAATACAATATTGTACTATTTAGATTCAGCCCAATTACAATCCCCAGCTACCAAACTTTTGTAGGTGTAGGTTTTAAGAGAAAAATCGAGATAAACCAAACTTATGTTCTCTAACAAACAAAATATTGGTTTTAACGATAAGCACAGATGTGACTATTTCGTCGAGTTTCAGCGTTCCATCCCTTCTAGAACACAATTTACATTCAGTCAGCACTCACTTATGTTCAGCTATATGTATTAAATGACAAGGTGTATGGATTTAGAAATATCAGAATCTACAGTGATGTTAATCTATAGAATCTACAGCGATGTGAATCTGATGTGCATATATAAAATGTATAGTAATGCGACTACGTAATCTAGAAAAGTGTGACTGTATAACATCTATAGCGGTCATCTACGGCGGTGTGATTGTATGGAATCTAATTGGGGAAAAAATGTCCGTTACCCTGAAGTAATTTTCGGTGAAACATCACTCTTACGGGAATAGTAATGGCGATTTAAAGAACATTTAATATTTTAGTTGAGCGCTGAGCATCGTTAAGTGTTGCTCACCGTTTTCCTTTTTGCCAAAAAACTTCCACAGCTTCTCTGTTCGTTTTTCAGGAGAGTTTTCGTCTTCCGGCAAGGTCTTTTGCTCTTGCAGTGGAATCATCTTAAATATCGCCTGAAAACACACACACACACATTTTAAAGTAGAAATACTTTACTCTACCACAGTAGGTGGCTGGACCAAAGCAGCCACAGTAAGATTGATGAAAAATATGTGCGAATTTTGGTGCACATTGTATCATTGTGTATTTTAGTATTCATGTATGTTGAACTGCTTCTTGGTTCTTTCGGTAAAGTCACGTAGAAGGGAAATAATAAAATAATAAAACATTCTAAAATAAAATAATAAAATAAATTTCTTTCTTATTTTATTACTTCCCTTCTCCGTGACTTTACCGAAAGAACCAAGAAGATGATTCCCTGCAGTCACGAAAGCTTTAAATCGAAAAATATGTTGAACTTTTTTGTGTTTGTGAATGTTGAACTGCTTTTGCACCGTACGTATCCAACCGTGCTATTATTGTGAGCAGTATAAAAAAATACTCCACAAATACTCCACAAATCTGTCTGTCTGCCTGATGATGCTAGTTGTAATTACTGGCGAAACGTCGTACTCGGATTGTAAATGTTGTGGATTTTCCCTCCAACACACCGGTGTGCTGTACTAGTAACGAATTGGCACGTTCTGTTTACGCGAAAAACCTTCCTAATTGGCTGTGTCGGGTGGTGGCGGGTTTAACGACACATTTATATTTTGCGATCTAACCCAAAAATAACCCTGTATTATGGATTAGAAAAAAGTATTTTGCTGTGTTCTAGTTTTGTCTTAAAATCACTGGTATAATTTTTTTAAATACACATATATATGACGGCTACACTCTGTTACGTATCTGTATGTTCCATATCATAATAAATAATTGAAATGTGCTGCGATTTGTCAATCTACTGCTGGATAAACAACTCCAGGGGGTTGTTTGACTATGCCTACATGTGCCTCTATATGTTACACATACGTTAAACATCCCCACGATTGCATCACCCAACATGTACCAAATCGTGTCAAATATTGGAAGCTAAGGAGGTTGGAGGCCCAGTGGCCAAATTAATCGTTACAATATTCACTGGGAACAGAATTTAGGATTTTTTTGTTCAACTATCCTTTGCGATATTATATTCTTGGTTCTTTCGCTAAAGTCACGTCGAAGGGAAATAATAAAATAATACAAATAAAACAATTAAATTCTCACGACGTTTCGATTGCAACACAAGCAATCATCATCAGGTGTGAAAACCACAGCAATAAAATTTGAAAAAAGTGGCGGGTTTTTTTTCTTGCTGTGGTTTTCACACCTGATGATGATTGCTTGTGTTGCAATCGAAACGTCGTGAGAATTTTATTGTTTTATTTGTATTATTTTATTATTTCCCTTCTACGTGACTTTACCGAAAGAACCAAGAATATGAATCCCTGCAGTCACGAAAGCTTTAAATCGAAATTCTTTGCGATGTTGTGGCTTTTATATTTACAGGAAACTCTTGGCGCATTACGCTTCTCAGTCGCACTTTCAGATGGGCGAATGCTGAAGTGTCGGCGGCTCTGAAAAGTCGTTTAAAAATCAGGATGGGCAAGGGCCATTAGGTTGTTGTGCTCCCTGCCTCAGGGACTCAGAACTCCATCCCGAGTCACGTCAGGAATACAGGCACCCTCAATTGTAAAACAACCAAAACATATTTGGTTGCATAAGCTTATCCTTGAATTTTATTGAGCATAAAAAAATCTTCGTTTTCTTGGGTCGGTAAAGTCACGTAGAATGGAAATAATAAAATAATAAAAATAAAACACAATAAAATAATTCTCACGACGTTTCGGCCACAACGCAAGCAGCCGTCCTCAGGTGGAGAAGAGGTCTGTCTTCTCGACAGGTCTGTCTTCTCGACAGACCTGTTCTCCACCTGAGGATGGCTGCTTGCGTTGTGGCCGAAACGTCGTGAGAATTATTTTATTATGTTTTATTTTTATTATTTTATTATTTCCATTCTACGTGACTTTACCAAAAGAACCAAGAAGATGAATCCCTGCAGTCACGAAAGCTTTAAATCGAAATTTTAAAAAATCTTCGTTATTTTAAAAACATTTTATAAGTGCCCTAGGCGAAATAAGGAACTTACCGTGACTATCTCCAGCACCTCGGCTTTGTTGATGGTTCCGTTTCCATCGATGTCGTACAGAGAGAATGCCCACTCGAGCTTGAGGTCGATCTCGCCCGAGGCGGTGAGATGCAGGGCCACCACGTACTCGCGAAAGTCGAGCGTCCCGTCCCCGTTGGCGTCGAAGGAGCGAAAGACGTGCTGGGCGTACTTGGTGGCGTCTGCGTTTGGGAAGAACTTGGAGTAGATCTGCTCGAAGCGCTCCCTGGAGATCCGGCTGTCCGGAGACTCTTTGAGGAAGGTGCTGTACCAGTCGGCGAGCTCCTGCTCCGAGTAGGCAGTGTTGAGCTTCAGGTCATCGAGCAGCTCCTTCGAAATTGCCGAGCTCCTGTTATTTCCCATTTTAAGAGGGGGCTTTTTTATTGTTGTTGTTGTTGTTCAAATCTATATAATTTTTCACCCCTTGAAAATGTTGCAGTGTTATGATTGTCGGGTGACTGCTACCCCCTTGAGTGTGTGCGGCCACTCGAGGTCAGCTGCTGCCAGACACACGCTCTGTCTCCAGTGCTGCGCCTGGATTTGGTGGATTTTATACCGCAGGTCGATCCGATTAGGATTGCCGGAGATGAATCAGCGGTTTGTCGCTCTATTCCGTTCAGGTAATTAACCGTGTGGACTATAATAGCATTGCGATTTTAATTTGGGTAAGTGACCACGTGGCTGGGCCACCACGGGCAAGCGGCAAAGAGGGCCCAGTTTTACAGCCAACGAGACCGTGCTGCGTAAGCATCATCAGCAACACATTGTGTACGATACGTATAATGGAAGCACGCACAGGGCGGATGTTAATCCACCGCTAGAGGATGCCGGTTAAGGGTCACCCGAGCAGAGGTCACTGGTCAGTGCAGCTTGGTGACTGGGGGGGGTGCAGGATACCGTTGTGGAGTTAGTTTTTTATTCGCGCTGCCCATCTACTGCCCACAATGGCCACTTCGCCTCTTCGATACCGCGGTGATTGCCCGTCGAGGCGCTGTCCAGGCTCAACCCTGATGAGCTTCCGAGGCGCGGCGGCATCGGGCGCACCCTGGGTGATTTGATCGAACGCAAAGTGCGACAGAAGCAATTGCCGTCGCGACTGTTAAGTGCGCATGGCCCGTCTGATGTTTCGTGCATACACGTACGGCCACTTTGTTAATCCACCGCTGGTTGAGGGGGCATCTCCCCGTGCCGTGCAGGTTGCGGTGGTTATTGAAGCAGAGTTCTCTGTGCTGGTTGGCGTGGCTGAAGGAGGAGTGGAGGAGAGATGCGGGAGGGTAGGAACGCAGCACTCTGCTGTAGTGACCTCCGCTGTCCACAAAGCCCTGTACGGTGTACAACAGATAATCTAATGAATGCCAACCTTTTGTCAATCCACTGCTGGATGAAGGCATCTCCATGCAATGTCCGCCGTGGAGGTTATGTAACCATACTTCGTCATGCTGGTAAGTGCGGGTTCGTGGTTGCGATAGCACTCACCGCTGATGTTAACCATGATCCACAATTGAACGTGGTTCAGAGTGCAATGTGCTGACCACTGCACCATCACTCACTTATGTAAAAAAATATGGTACAATGCATTAACACTTTCTATCGGTTTATAAAATTGCTGGGAACATTTTTTTTTATAATTTGTCAATTTTCCAAAAATGCTTTGACGCATTGACTCATTGATGCATTGACTCATTAACGCATTGCTTTTCAGTGACAATGTTTAACTTTTAAAAATACATTTTCAATTCCACCGCAGGCATCTTAAAACTCTACGATTCACCAAACCCCCCCCCCCCACACCTTCACAGCCCCCACTCTTCCCCATCGCAATCGCGGATGGCGCCCCTAGTATAATCTCAACAAACCCACAGGCAACCCGCCTGCAGTCAACCCACGGATATCGCCAGCGTTGGTCAAGGTGACGGCTCTTTTGCTATCGGGAATGCACGGAGAAGAGTCAGTCCGGGAGAGTGTGAGCCGATGATTAATGAGCAAGTAGGTCAAGAAGTTCGAGGCAGGGTATCGAGGCAGTGGTTTTAGTTCCAAGCTTTGCATTGCGTCTCTACTTGTCCACGATGTGCGGTGGCGAATGCTCGCTCACTCTGCGACGGTTAAAGAGAGTCAGCTGCCCGGTATGTTTCCAGGCCGTGTTGGTCGGCGTGAACGCATCGGAGAGAGCCGCATGCGGAATAGCGACAAACCCTACGTGTGAGAGTCAATAGAGAATTGCTTTGTGGTGGCACATTGGGTAGTTCAGGCCAAAAACACTGCCCAACATTTAAACACGAGCAAGGCACGTACGTCTCGCGCGGTTGGGTCACCGTCGCGCAAACTGAAATGGCACGGCGAGGTCTGAGCCTGGTTGTGATGAACCCAGGCAAACAAGCGCCATGGCAACACAGCTCGAAGAACAAGTGTGTGATCTGGTCTTTTTTTAAACTGCAGTCCCCTCCTAATGGTGACTTTCTGCGTGCCAGTCATCTGTTAAGGCAATTGCAGGGCTGTACTTTTACCTATGCATGTGCCACGTGTGCTACAGTCAGATTCTTCTCCAGCTTTAGCCACATCCGTATACGTTTTGTTACCATGAACAAATGACGTGGCTTACATGCGCAAATGTAGACTGCATGCACGTACATGTAGACATCAAGCAGCACAGACGCAATACTCTGATCAGAGTTGTGAATAGCGGGATGCTATTTTGATTAAAGCAAGATTAAAAGCAAATTAAATTATGCTGGTCAACCAAAACATCATTTGAACGACACCTTATTGCATATAAAACGCATTAAAGCAATCCCCATGTTTAAACATTCTGATTTATAACACGACTGTATAGTTAGTCAAGTGGATTAATGAACTAAACATTTTATATGGTGTTTTTTTGTGCTTAATTCATCGGGCTCTTTCAAAAACGGTGGCTGACATAAACATAAACGATTTGGAAAAAAAATTGCCAATGCAACATAGCGGGAGAGAAAACATTTCCAAAATAAGTTGGGTACTGGTGCAAGTAAGCTCAGCGTTTTGATTTAATAGGCACATACACAACACATTAGCCCGCTGTTTCTCTACATCGCGAGATGTGGTGGCATTTAGACGTGGTAGAAAAGCACTTATTTGTATAACCCCGGCTCCACTTTCAACCACCCACGACTCCACACACGATAATGTGTGTGGAGTCGTGGGTGGTGCAGTGAATAGCGCACCCTGCTGTACAGCCAGCAACATAAGTTCGCATTGCAACCGTGGCTCATGTCAGTGACGAGTAAAAGCTGAGCCAGTCTTACCCCCCTTCTCCCCTTCACTAAACCGCACTGGTCAGTAGTGGTGAAGTATGGTCAAACCCAATGGTTCTACGTGGTGTGAGGAATCATTCACTTAACAGTGGAATCACAAAGGACTACTATGATTATATCATTTCTGAACCATTTCCACGTTTGTTTCATTCAACTTGTCGAGGCAAAATAATGGTGTGGCACTCAGAATCAACATGCAAACCTTTCTGTAAAGTGTAATTTTAAAAGAAAGTGTCCGAGCACTGATTTGCCACGCTATTACTAAGCAGTGGGGTTTTGTTTTTGCATCATCTGTGCAGGGGTCTGGCTAATTGACGTGCAGCGTTGTGGGATGCTATATGAAATTACATTATTAGTAGTAGTAGTATTGCCATTCCCTCACCATCGTGCTGACTATAAACGGGCCAAAGATGTTAACTTAAAAATAATAATAACACCGCGGAAGCAGTGCTACGTTGCGTGCGTGTGTGGAATGCACAGAAAGCACGGACGCTTCAATTATGGTCAATATTTAAAGGGTTTTTTTATGTGCGAAATGTGGCTAAGAGGAAGAATTATGGCGCACCCCTATCTCGCCGAGGATAATAGGAATTGCTGCAAAGGAACAGTACGCCCCGAGGCCAATGCATTATCACGACCAAGTTGCCACGGTGTTATATTTACTGCAGCAGGGTCCCATGTTTGGGTTTTCGAGGCACACCAAGCGGCATTTCCAGAGGCGCTTCTGGAAATGCCATGGTGAGTGGGATGCGTTTTTTTTTTAAATCGAGTCTCCTCCGTATATTTTCTTTACCGAGGCGACGTGCCGTTGCTTGCACGTGCTTGGCAGCATGCAGGCAGCTATAGTGCGACACCAAGCCGTGTCAATGGAGCTCATTTAGCCAAAGAACTGGAGCAGTGTATAGGCAATTATGTTTTAACATATACACTGGATTCATGCTCTGACGGTACACGCATCAAATTGTGTGCACGTTCAGATGGATGATTTACTATTCATAAACGTACTCTTTGGTCCTTTCGGTAAAGTCACGTAGGTGAAAAAAATAACTAAATTAAATCACGACGTTTCGGAGGCAACACACGCTTCCGTCATCAGGTGGGACAACCACAGCAAAAAAAAATCTATAATTATTCACCCCTGCAGCGACTAGAGGCGCGCCACAATGTAAAACCAACACGACGCTTCTCACATCGAATTGTGACCCCCCCTCCCCCCCTTGAATCACTGCGATTCGGCAACTCGTCATACAGAAAGCATCGTTCCGTTGTCATTCAATCCACTGCTGGATTGCTGGTCAATGCAGACCGGTGAACGTGGAGCCCAAGATCCGTTCAGACATCACTTCTTCACTGGCATCAGCCGCGCTCGCTGTGCAGTTCTTATATGTTCAGCGTTGCACATGCAACGTGATGCAGATAGCTGCATATATCGCGGGCTGTGCATTCGCTGCTGTGTCGACCAAGAGAAGCATTACAGCTTACACCAGACTCAAGCTAAGCCACCTCCAACTTACTATGCCGTGTCACATCTCACTGCCTGACCATCCTATAGCTCCACTCCGGATCTCCCCCTGGGTATAGACACTTATCCTTTTCCTTATTCCACATTGTTATTCCACAACTCCGTACCACCCTCCCCGCTCCTGCTTTATTGAATGAACACGTGCAGTGTGTCGAACGTATTTGTGTCTGGCACATTGCTTTGTTTTACGTACTTTAATGTTTTCCACAATTTTATTTAGATTTTAAACTTTCGTGACTGCAGGAATTCATATTCTTTGGTTCTTTCGGTAAAGTCACAAAGATAGAAAAATAAAAATAAAAAATAAAGTGAATAAAAATAAAAACAAAAACCACGATGTTTCGATCGCAACATAAGCGGTCGTCATCAGGATAAGGGGGGTTTGCCTCTAAAGGCAAACTGTTTATAAAATCAAGATTACTACTCTTAGGTTTTGTCGGTAAAGTCACGTAGGTAAAAATAATAGAAATAATAGAAATAAAATAATAAATCACGACGTTTCGGAGGCAACACAAGCTTCCTTCATCAGGTGTAAACAGGCACAGCAAAATAACTGTAGTGGGAGTTATTTGTGATGGGGCATTAATATATAGGGTAAGAAGACGAGGGGGGAGGAGCCAAGGGAGACGGGTGCAGGATGTGGGGGGGGGTTAGAGATGGGCGTAGCCCAAGTGTGTCAGCAGCATGTGCGGGGCAG